TGACGTATCAGATAAAGGGGTAGTTTCCAAGATCTATAAAGAACTTATTAAACTCAACACCAAAGAAACAAAACAATCCAATCCTGAAATGGGCAAAATACATGAACAGAAATCTCACAGAGGAAGACATAGACATGGCCAACAGACACATGAGAAAATGCTCCACATCACTTGCCATCAGGGAAATACAAATCAAAACCACAATGAGATACCACCTCACACCAGTGAGAATGGGGAACATTAACAAGGCAGGAAACCACAAATGTTGGAGAGGATGCGGAGAAAAGGGAACCCTCTTACCACTCATTTTTATATCAGACTAAAAATTCCCAATATTTTTTCTCTTTTCTCACCTTAACTACAATATGTTACTAGCTCTTCCTTTTTAAATTTCTCCTGTTTGACTTTCCTTTTTCTACAATTATGTGTCTTAAATTTAACTTCTGGATTCCCTTCAACGTATTCAATTTCATTTTGTTCAATATATGATATGGGTATTTGATTTGTGTTTTTTTGTTTTTTTCTGCCTCGTTTTGTTTTACAATGGTGGAAGTTAATACCTTCTAAAACATGACCAACAGCACCCAGAACCAAGTGGAATACTGTGCTGGTTCATTCTGTGAGATTATATTCTCTCTTCATTCCCATTCTGTCCCCTTCTTTTATCTCATTTATGTTTTGGTGGTCAATGTTGTGTCTCTCTACAAGTATTGCTGGTTTATATAAGTTTGGGATTGAGCATCTTCTAACATACAGAACAAAATACACTCAGAATCAAGAGAATCAACCTCTAGGACCCTTCAGGTAGACTATATTCTCCCTTCACTACCACTTCTTCACCACCATCATCTCCCAACCTTTTTTTTTTTTTTTCGTTTTCTTCTTTACTTTTTTCCCCCTTCTTTGTGGTTTTTGGCCTTTAATTTTCACTACTTTTTATTTTTTTTATTTTTTTAAAGATTTTATTTACTGGGGGGGGGGGCAGAGTCACAGGCAGAGGGAGAAGCAGGCTCCATGCAGGGAGCCCGACGTGGGACTTGATCCCGGGTCTCAAGGATCACACCCCGGGCTGCAGGCGGCGCCAAACCACTGCACTACTGGGACTGCCCCACTACTTTAATACTTCTTTTTCACTTTAGTGGTCCTTTTATTTTATTTTGTTCAGTTTTTTGTGTTTTTTTTTTTTTTTCATTTTCTGGTCTTGGACCTCTTCAGAATCATCTAGGGTATGTTTTACTTTGGTTGTAGTTGATATTTTTTACTCAACCCACTCATACAGCCACTCTGCACTGAATAAAAGGACTAGAAGGAAGAATTCATCACAAAAGAAGAACCAGAAACAGTACTCTCTGCAGCAGAGTTACAGAATATGGATTTCAATATGATGTCAGAAATTCAATTCAGAAGTACAATTATAAAACCACTGGTGGCTCTGCAAAAAAGCATAAATTACTGTAGAGACTTCGTTACTGCAGAATTGAGATCTAATCAGGCCAAAATTAAATAGATTCAATGAGATGCAATCCAAACTGGATGTTCTAACTGCTGAGGTGGAAGAAAGAGTGAGTGACATAGAAGACAAGTTGATGGTAAGGAAGGAAGCTGAGGAAAAAAGAGAAACGCGATTAAGAGCCCACAAGGAAAGGCTTAGGGAAATAAATGATAGCCTGAGGATGAATTTACATATAATTGGGGTTCCAGAAGAGGCTGAGAGGGAGAGATGACCACAAAGTATATTTGAACAAATCATAGTTGAGAACTTCCCAAATATGAGCAAGGAAACAGGCATTCAGATCCAAAAGAGAGAGAGAGAGAGGACCCCCCCAAAAAAATTCAATAAAAACCATTCAACACCTCGACATTTAATAGTGAAACTTGCAAATTTAAAGATAAAGAGAAAATTCTTAAAGCAGTGCAAGACAAGAGATTCTTAACTTATATGGGGAGAAATATTAGATGAACAGCAGACCTCTCCACAGAGACTTGGCAGACCAGAAAGGGCTGGCATGATATATAAAGGGTACTAAAGAAGAACATGCAGCCAAGAATATTTTATCCAGAAAGGCGCTCATTCAGAATACAAGGAGAGATAAAGAGCTTACAGGATAGGGAGAAACTGAAAGAATATGTGACCACCAAACTGGCTCTGCAAGAAACATTAACGGGGACCTGTAAAAGAAAGAGTCCAGAGAAACAATCCACAGAAACAGGGACTGAATAGGTAGTACGATGACACTAAATTAATATCTTTCAATAGTTACTCTGAATGTGAATGGGCTAAATGATCCCATCAAAAGATGCAGGGTATCGGAATGGATAAAAAAACAAGACCCACCTATATGCTGTCTATGAGAGACTCATTTTAGACCACCAGCCTGAAAATGAAGGGGTGGAGAACCATTTACCATTCAAATGGTCCTCAAAAGAAAGCTGGGGTAGCAATCCTCATATCAGATAAGTTAAAGTTTATCCCAAAGACTTAGTAAGAGATGAAGAAGGACACTATATCAAACTTAAAGGGTCTAACCAACAAGAAGACCTAACAATCCTGAATATTTATGCCCATAATGTGGGAGCTGCCAAGTATATCAATCCATAACCAAAGGAAAGGAACACTTAGATAATAACACACGAGACTTCACCATAGTGCTCTCAGCAAAACACAGATCTTCTTTTTTTTTAATTTTTTTTAATTTATTTATGATAGTCACAGAGAGAGAGAGAGAGAGAGGCAGAGACACAGGCAGAGGGAGAAGCAGGTTCCATGCACCGGGAGCCTGACGTGGGATTCGATCCCGGGTCTCCAGGATCGCGCCCTGGGCCAAAGGCAGGCGCCAAACCGCTGCGCCACCCAGGGATCCCTTCTTTTTTTTTAATTTTTTTTTTTAATTTATGATAGTCACAGAGAGAGAGAGAGAGAGAGAGAGAGAGAGAGAGAGAGAGAGAGAGAGAGAGGCAGAGACACAGGCAGAGGGAGAAGCAGGCTCCATGCACCGGGAGCCCAACGTGGGATTCGATCCCGGGAAAACACAGATCTTCTAAGCAGAACATCACCAAAGAAACAAGGTCCTTGAGTGATACACTGGACCAAATAGATTTCACAGATATATACAGAACATTGCATCCTAATGCAACTGAATACACATTCTTCTCAAGTGCACGTGGAATTTTCTCCAGAACAGACCACATACTGGGTCACAAATCAGGTCTCAACTGATACCAAAAGATTGGGATTGTCTCCTGTATATTTTCAGACCATGATGCTTTGCAACTAGAACTCAACCACAAGAAGAAATTTGGAAGAACCTCAAACATAAGCAGGTTAAAGAGCATCCAAAGAGATGAATTGGTCAACCAGAAAATTAGAGAATTAAAAAGATTCATGGAAACTAATGAAAATGAAGATACAACTATTCAAAATCTTTGGGATATAGCAAAAGTGGTCTTAAGAGGGAAATACCTCACAATACAAGCCTCCCTCAAAAAACTGGAAAAAAACTCAAATACACAACTTTATTAATTTTAGTGTACCTAACAAATGTTTGCATAGTGTTATAAAAACACTGTTCCAGGCACTGTTTTTATCCACTGAATTAGTAGATGATCCATATTCTAGTGACATCTTTTGAAGTTTATTTATTCATGGGAGACATAGAGAGGCAGAGTCATAGGCAAAGAGAAGAGAAGCAGCCTCCTTGCAGAGAGCCTAATGCAGGACTTGATCCCAGGACCCGGGATCACACCCTGAGCCGAAGGCAGACGCTCCACCACCAAGCCACCCAAGTATTCCTCTATTGTCATTTCTAGTGAGAAATCCTTAAGAAGTCATTTATTATTATGTATAACCTTATGTATATCTTTTTCTTAAAAGAAGGCAATAACAAAAAAAGAAAAAAAAAGAAGAAGGCAATAACACCTGGTTGGATGGACCAGATGAACTAATATATGTGAAAAGATATTGTCTTGCCCTTCTAGAGAGAAATAAGTCGTAACTAATGGTTTCTGAAGGAGTATTCCTCTGGTTCGTCTACTCCAAGAACCAGTATTTTTATGTAATCAATATACTTGAGGTTCACTCCTTAAATTGCAACATTTTGAAGAGGTCAAAGGACATGAAAATAAATTCATCCTAGAATAACATCGTTTACTGTACAACTAAGATAAGCATAATCATTTATGACCCTAAATGTTATTTAATAAGCCTCTAATTTTATAATTCCTTTATATTATGAAGAACTGGTGAAAATCCTTGGCCAACTGTGGTCTGGTTCAGCCCAGACACTTCTTTTCTAGGATTATCCAAGTTTTGCTGAAACTCTTCTGAAAATCCCATTGTTTTCACTTGTCACCTGTGTCATTACACTGCCTTGTATTGGAGCCCTTAAGACTCTTTGTAGATATGTTGTTTTTGTTGTTGTTGTTTTTGGTTGCAAAATAAACTTTGACCAAAGCCTTTACCAGTAGTAATTAACCATTACTTCTAATACCCATTTTAATTAAAACCATCTGTTTGCTATAAGGAAATTTAAAACTAGAACAACATGATAGAAAAGTAGATTTCTCTGCATCACTTTTTTATGTTCATCACTATGACTCTCAGTCTCCTCCAAGACTCTTACGATGATCCTAGGACTTGTTTGATGAAAATGCAAAAGCTGCTTAAAAAAAAAATCACACAAAAATAAATACTGCCATATCCTGTCACATTGTTTCTCAAATGAAGGTATAGAAAATTTAGGTACTATAGCAAATGAGTATTTTTAACTTAGAAGTTATATACATTTTGATAAATAAATGTTTATATGACAAATGTAACTGACATATAAAACTCATAATTTCCACAAATACTATTTCCTAGGACAAGGTTAAAAATGTTAATTCCCTTTAAGCAAATATATTAATACTGAGTATGATAAAAAAAAACTGTAAAGAAAACACACAAATGACTGAGTTTGAGAAATACTTTTATGTTTATTTCAAGTTTATTTGAGTCATTACACTGCATCACTGCCTTAAAGCTTACATAATTTTTAAAAACTTTGTATCATAAAAGTTACAGGTGAATAATTACAGATTATTGCCTACAAGGTTTCTAGGCATTGAAAAAAAAGTTTGATTTCAGATTTGGAACATGATTCTTAATATAATCTTACTTATAAAATAAATTATTTTCACTATTTATATCCTCTCCTGGGAATATGCTACTAATTTAAGACCTAAATTTATTTTAGTTTCAATGCATTAAAAGTTTTTTATAAGCTTTTTTTTCCTCTGTGAATAATGATATTGAATTGGATAAAAAGATCTGACTTAGTTTTCATACATTTATATATTCATATGATTTTTCCACCATAAGTTATGTGCTGCTGCTGGGTAAGTGAAGGACTGGGACCTAAGGGTTTCTCACATTTACTGTATTCACATAATTTCTCCCGAGTATGGATTTTCCTATGTTGATTAAGGTGTGCACTCTGGCTAAAGGCTTTGTCACATTCATTACATTTATAAGGTTTTTCTCCTGTATGAGTTCTCTCATGCTGGTTAAGATGTGTTCTCTGGCTGAAGGCTTTCCCACAAAAACTACATTCATATGGTTTCTCTCCAGTATGAAGTCGATGATGTTCAGTAAGGGATGTGATACGGCTAAAGGCTTTACCACATTGATTACATTTATACGGCCTCTCTCCAGTATGAATTCTCAGATGTTGAGTAAAGGATGAATGTTGACGGAAGGCTTTTCCACATTCATTGCATACAAAAGGTTTTTCTCCTGTGTGAATTCTCTGATGTTGAATAAGATGTATCCTCTGGCTGAATCTTTTCCCACATTCATCACACTTATAGGGCTTCTCTCCTGTAAGGACTATCTGAGGTTGAGTAAGAGATGAGTTGTGGTTGAAGACCTTTCCACATTCACTGAGTTTCTCTTCAGTATGAATATGATTAGTAAGAAGAATATGTTGATTGAAGATTTTTCCACACTCATATTCATAAGGATTATTTCTTACATAGTTCCCCTGATAGTAAATCAAGTCTGAATTATGTTTGATGCGATTTCCTTGTGTGTCCAAACTAAGGGGTATTTTAACTGAAGGAATTCCCTGATGCATAATAAGGTTTGAGTTCACATTACAGTTTTCTCCAAATCTATCACAGTCAAGGTTTCTCTCCTGTGTGATCTTTTTGTGGGTCAAAGATACTTGTGCTAAATGTCCCTGCTGGATTTCTTGGTTAAACTCTAACTGGTAATCAAAATTCCAGAGTCTTCCTAAGATGGAGTACCAGAAACTGTCTCCTGTTAGTCTTTCCATTACCATATCATGATTTTGATTTTCATCAGAAATATTCCGGTTTGGGGTTGATTTTTTGATTTCAGGTCTATTCTCCCCATCTAAAAGAAATTCAGAACATACAAGTACTTTGCCACCTTCTCTGTTTTGAAAAAGAAATTGTTGCACAATGAATTACCAAGTGAAACTTATACTAATGCAGACAAATCACATGTGGTGTAAGTTTTAAAATATGGCTATGTAACAAGGGATAAGACTATAAAAGGATGACAAACATGTATGGTAGTTATAAGAGGACATCCAAGAGTATCCATGGATGAAAGGAAATAGAAGAATAATAAATACCAGAGAAAGGTCTGCGGTTAGAGGTGGGAGATACTTGAGGAAAGATTGTACTTGGAGAAGACAGGTTCGAGCGCATCACCCTATAAATCTCATCTGTGGGTTATTCTATTTTAGTGCCAGCTACTTGTCTATTTAAAAAGTATTTCTTATTTTTAATCTTTTGTTTAAAATTATAAAATGGGGACACCTGGGTGGGTCAGCAGTTGAGCGTCTGCCTTCAGCTCAGGGCAGGATTCCAGGTCCTGGGATTGACTCTCACATTGGGCTCCTGCAGGGAGCCTGCTTCTCCCTCTGCCTATGTCTCTGCCTCGGCCTGTGTGTATCTCATGAATAAATAAAATCTTAAAAAAATAAAATGATAAAATGAATATTTGCTTATAATAACATATTCAAATAAGGTGGATATGCATAAAGGAAGAATTTCACCCCCTTAGAGGTCATTATTGGTAATAGTTTGGAGCCTATCAGATTTTTTTCCTGTTCATACAAATATAAATGTAAATCATATTTTAAACAAGCATGAATTGTGATAAAAACAAAATTTCATTTCAGTCTCCCACCATTTCTTTAAACTTAATTTGGGGAGGGCATTATTATTCTGCTTCTGGATGAAGATTTGGGCAGGTTTCATGGTTCCCCCTAATTCTTAGATAACAGATATTCTTACTGTTACAGTAAGTTACAAATACAGTCTATTCGGTAATTAAAATGTTGTCACCTGTTTGGTAATTAAAACTCCAAAATTAATCCCCTTTCCTTCCCCTGGGCTGTTAGAATCATTTTTTCCTCTTTCCCCACCACCTATCTCTTTCCCCACTCTATTCTCTCCCTATTTTTTTTACTTGACTACGCTCTCACTTCTTTCCCCATTTTATCTATTTCCCTGCCCATGTCTTCCTTCACTCACTAATTGTTGTTCTTTTGTTGTTGTTGTTGTTTAGGTGGGGAGGAGCAGAGGGAGAAAGAGAGAATTTTAAGGAGGCTCCACACCCAGCACAGAGCCTGATGCTGGGCTTGATCTCATGACCCTGAGATCATGACCTAAGCCAAAATCAATAGTTAGGCACTTAACTGGCTGAGCCACCCAGGTGCCCCTGTTTAGTTCCCTTCTAACAAGAGATGGAGGATAGAAGCTGTGTGGAGGGAAGGATTAAGAGACAGGCCAATTTTTGTAGGATTGGGTGGCTTCACATTCTACCCTGGCAGAAAGTTAAACAGGACTCACTTTGGAAACTTTTATGACTTTTGGGAGGCCCTAGCTGGGCCTCTTTTTCTCCTCTCATTTTCCATGATCTAGATAGATAAAATTCTACTTCAGACAGTCCCTTGGGAACAGCCCTATAGCAACGAATCCTACAGGACAAGATCAAAGATCACAGTGGCTGACTCATAAACACTCATGATACCTTGTCTTGACAAACTTGGGTAGTCCAGATGATCCTAATTCAACAGTTTCTCTTGGCTCACCTACAAAAGCTATTTCATCAGTCACCTGTTCTTGACCCTTGGACTGCTTTAGCTTTCTCAAATGGAGGTCATGCACTAGTCTTGGTCTTCCAATCATAGATAATGTATATAAAAGCTGAAGGAATGTTGCCCTTGAGGCTTGCACATATGATTATTATCCTAATTAGGACATTTGACAGCAAAAAGGAGCACCATTAATAATTATGCCAAGCATTGTCCTGGGAAAATAAAGTGGAATTACACCATAATATTGTTTTGTATTTTGTGTTGTTTTTTTTTGTTTTGTTTTTGGTTTGTTTTTTTTTTTTTGTTTTTTTTTTTAATTTTTATTTATTTATGATAGTCACAGAGAGAGAAAGAGAGAGAGGCAGAGACATAGGCAGAGGGAGAAGCAGGCTCCATGCACTGGGAGCACGATGTGGGACTCGATCCCGGGTCTCCAGGATCGCGCCCTGGGCCAAAGGCAGGCGCCAAACTGCTGCGCCACTCAGGGATCCCTGTTTTTGGTTTGTTTTTAAGAAAGAGTGAGTGGGGGACAGGCAGAGAGAGAATCCACACCCACTGGATGATGTAGGGCATGATCTCACAACCCTGAAATCATGACCTGAGCTAAAATCAAGAGTCCAGAGCTTAATAGAGCCACCCAGGTGCCTCTGCATTTTGTTTTTACATTACTGCATATCATGAACACATTTCCATGTCAGACCTTACATTGCTTACCCCTCTGTTGTCTCAGATTATAGAAAAAGTGCTACTTGGGAAGAAAGTGTTTTCAGACATGGGAGCAGAAGATCTTCCCCTGCCTACACTGTGAGAATGACATGCATTCTCTTTTGTGTTCTAGTTCTAAATTAAGTGTAATATCATAGTTACAGCTACAGACTAAGTCTCTCTAGTTTATTAGGCTTTCATTATTCTTTCATTATTCTTTATGTAGGGTTCTACATAAAGAAAAATAGGAGATTTGCATAGACTACTGTAGTCTCAATGTGGTTACTATTTGTCCCCACCAATTCCATATTCCCCGAATCAACTGTTGGGGTTATGAACCTTCAATAAAATTAAGATTTCTAGGATACCTAGACTTCTGACCTGCTTTGCATCTAAGAAGGGATACCTTCTAGATAGGATCTTAGTATAAGCGTATTGTGATGCCACTGGGCAACTTGAACATCATGAAGGGCCTTTTGAACTACTCCAAACCTCACCTAGTAGACAACTTAGCCTACTTAGCCTCATTCAATGCCTTTTGAACTGAATTATTTAGAAGCAGGAAGGAAGGAAACAAGAAAGAAAAGAGGAAGGGAGAAAAGGATGGGAGAGAGGAGGGAGAAAAGAGAAGAATTAGGGAGGGCAGCCCTGGTGGCACAGCAGTTTAGTAGCACCTGCAGCCCGGGGTGTGATCCTGGAGACCCAGGATCGAGTCTCATGTCAGGTTCCCTGCATGGAGACTGCTTCTCCTTCTGCCTGTTTCTCTGCTTCTGTGTGTGTGTGTGTGTGTGTGTGTGTGTGTGTGTGTGTGTCTATGAATAAATAAATAAAATCTTAAAAAAAGAATTAGGGAGAAAGGGAAGGAGGAAAACATTTTAAAGTTTATCCTTTCTATGTGCAAAGCACTATAGTATTTCTAGTTCTCTTTTGTTAATTAAAAAAAAGTGCCATGATTTATAGTGGGTTATAATATTAATTTAGTGGGTAGAAAATAAATTAAAAGCTGGAAAAAAACAAAATAGGCTAAAAACAATTAGAAACTATCACAGCATCAGTAGGATAAACATTGGTAAAATTTTTTAAGATTTTACTTATTTGAGAGAGAGAGAGAGAGAGAGAACAAGCAATGGTGAAGGCAGAGGAAGAGAGAGAGAGGCAGACTCCCCACTAAGCAAGAAGCCTCACCTGGGGCTCAACCTCAGGACCTGAGCTGAAGGCAGACACTCAACTGAATGAGCCACCCAGGTGCCCCTATTTGAGATAATCCTTTGTCTCACTTTTATAGATTGTATATATATCTTATGGGTTGCAATAAAAATGCATTTCTTAAAAATAATAATAATAAAAAATAAAAATAAAAATGCATTTCTTAATGAAAGTGGTGGTTATAAATAAGTAAAAACTATTGTCTTAGCAGAGGTAAGTTTTTTCTCTAAAGTGTCATATAGTAAATATTTAAGGTTTTGCAGGTGATATGGACTTATTGTTTACTCAACTCCACTGTTATAGTGTGAAAACAGCCACACACAATACAAGTGGCAGAGTAAGTGTGGCTGGATTCCCTTAAAATTGCTTACAAAAACATGTGACTCTAGACAATGTTTTGTTCATCCAAAGAGTCTACAACACCTAACAGAGTTATCTGAAAAGGTAGCCCCCTTTGATAATCTAAGACATCTTTATGTTCATCTTACACTAGCAATGTATGAGAGTGCTTTTTCCCCTATAGACTTACCAACAATGTGCAGACAAATTTTTGGACTTGCTAAACTGATAGATGAGAAAAGATAATCTGGTGTAGTTTTGATTTGTGTTTCTCTTACTGTGAGACTGAATATTTTTTCCTACATTAAACATATTTGTATTCCTTTATCTAGGAACTGTTCGTATATGTGTACACTTCTATTAGGCTGTTGGACTCTTACTGATTTACAGCAGCTTTTTATTAATAAGAGCTTAGCCCTTTGGTATAAGTTGCAAATATTTCCCTTCCATGTCATTTGCCTTTTTAATCTTACTATTCTATACCATGCAGAGTTTGGGGATTTGTATCTGTTGAATATAGAAATCTTCTGTTTTATGACTTTCAGATTTTGAATCATAGTCCGAAATGACTTCCCCATTTCAAGGTTATAAAAGATTTCTCCTATGTCTCTTATGGTTTCATATTTTAAATTTAAAGTCTCTGATTCTGGGTGGCTCAGTGGTTTAGTGCCACCTTCAGGCCACGGCCTGATCCTGGAGACCTGGGATGGAGTCCCATGTCAGGCTCCCTGCATGGAGCCTGCTTCTCTGCCTGTGTCTCTGCCTCTGTGTGTGTGTGTGTGTGTGTGTGTGTGTGTGTGTGTGTCTCATGAATAAATAAATAAAATCTTTAAAAAAAATAAAATGAAATAAAGTCTCTGATTCCTTTGGAGTATCTTGGTCTAAAGACTTTATGGTGCAGCCACTCTAGAAAACTGTGTGGAGGTTCCTCAAAGAGTTAAAAATAGACCTGCCCTACGACCCAGCAATTGCACTGTTGGGGATTTACCCCAAAGATGCAGATGCAATGAAACGCCGGGACACCTGCACCCCGATGTTTCTAGCAGCAATGTCCACAATAGCCAAACTGTGGAAGGAGCCTCGGTGTCCATCGAAAGATGAATGGATAAAGAAGATGTGCTTTATGTATACAATGGAATATTACTCAGCCATGACAAATACCCACCATTTGCTTCAATGTGGATGGAACTGGAGGGTATTATGCTGAGTGAAATGAGTCAATCGGAGAAGGACAAACATTATATGGTCTCATTCATTTGGGGAATATAAATAATAGTGGAAGGGAATAGAAGGGAAGGGAGAAGAAATGGGTAGGAAATATCAGAAAGGGAGACAGAACATAAAGACTCCTAACTCTGGGAAATGAACTAGGGTTGGTGGAAGGGGAGGAGTGTGGGTGGTGAGGGTGAATGGGTGACGGGCACTGAGGGGGGCACTTGACGGGATGAGCACTGGGTGTTATTCTGTATGTTGGCAAACTGAACACCAATAAAAAATAAATTTATTATTAGAAAAAATAAAATAAAGACTTTATTCATGAGAGACACAGAGCGAGAGAGGCAGAGACATAAGCAGAGGGAGAAGCAGGCTCAATCCCAAGACTCTGGGATCATGACCTGAGCCAAAGGCAGACGCTCAACCATTGAGCCACCAAGGTGCCCCTGGAGTACCTTGGTTTAAGGGGTAAGTTATGCATCCAATTTTATCTCTTTTCAGATGGCTACCCACTATTCATTAAAAGGTCTACCTTTCATAATACTACTTGTGATGAGCACAGCATAAAGATGAATCACTATGTTGTGCACCTGAAACTAATGTAACATAGTATGCCAATTATACACAAATTTTTTTAAAAGTCTACTTTTAAATACCAGTTGTCTCAATACTATTTTATTAAGATGTCTATTTTCTCCTTCCTGATTTGAAATAATGCCTTTATCATATACTAAAGTCCTGGGTCTATTTCTGGATTTTCTACTCTGTGCAGTTGGTCTGCCTTGTTCTTAAATTTTTACTATATATTTCTAGTTGAGATAATCCTTTTTTATTGTTTTTCCTTTCAGATTTTCCAGATTATTTTGGTTTTGGTTTCTCAACATGAACTTTAGAATGAGCTTATCTAGATCCCTCTAAAATCTTGAAGGCACTTTTTATGGGATTACATTATATGTATACTAGGGACACTGATATCTTGGTATGTCCATTTATTCAAGTTTATTTTTGTGTCTGTCAGAGTGTTTTATTTTTTTTATTTTATTTTTTTTTGTCAGAGTGTTTTAAAGTTTTCCTCATGCAATGTTGCACATCTCTTGTTAAAAGTTTACTTCTTTGTGTTTTATCTTTCTAGTTACTGTTAAATGGGTTCTTATCTTCCATCTTATTTTCTGATAGCTGTTTGTGTTTTTATCTTTACTCCACTTCAACAATTATTTACCTGGTTATACAGTTATACTCTGAACTTAGATCCATATAAAGAATCTCACATTCAGTGTCACACTCTCTTGCTTAGTGAGTAGACCTGCCCTTGTTCACATTCTACGGGGATGTAGATCTCATCTAGAGATCGTTCTGATCTCATCTAGACCTCCACCACTTTAACTCTTCTGTAGTTTTCTAGTTTCCAGCCCACTTCTTGTCACTTCCTGGAATCTATGTCAAATCACCTGAATTAACAAACTCTCAGTTTTCCTTCTTTAGTTCTAGCCATCTAACAGGCCCTCAGCCTGGACTCTAAAAAGCCTTTCCGGTACCAAGTAAAAGAGGAGAAATGGCATATGCATGGACAATGGAAACCACAAATGCATAGGGTAAAATCTCATTTGGACCCTCAAAACTGCTTGGTAATCTCCTGATTCATCTTTAGTCAGCTTCCATTGACCTTAAATAAGCTAAAGCAAGTGATCCTCAAGTTCTGTACTTATTCCCCACCATTACTTTACATTCAATAGACCCTGCCTCCTACTTTACCAAGAAAATAGAAATAACCATGTGTGAACTCCCCCAAATCTTCCATCAACAAACTTATTTATATACAAAATCACCCTAATCTCTTTCCAATCCCATTTCCATCTCTTGAGAGCCTTGCTCCATATTTTGTATGCATTTTTTACTTATTCCCCTCTATTAACCCCTCCCCTTCAGTATTACAAACAAGCTAAAACCATTCCTGCTTAGAACAAACATCTTTTGACATTACCTTCAATTCTCTCCCATATATCCTCTATTGTCTCCGTCATTCTAGCTTCTTGTAAGAACACTGCATATTTACCAGCTCTACCTTTTCACCTGTTCACTGAAAGATGTATAACTGATTGTTCTTCTAGTCACTCCCCTGTTGTTTCTCTTATTAATATAATTACTAACCTTCTTGTTGCTAAATACATTGGACATTTTCCAGGTCTTACCTTACTGAGGAAGACGTTTCTAGGTAAATAGGCATCAGTAGATAGATGCCAGTATGGCAAGCAATACCCCAGAGGGCAAGTCAGACGTAGATGAGTCCATCAACAGAAATGTTTTACCACATCCTCATAAGCGGAACCAGTCACTGCATCTCTATGGCTTACAGGATAATGCAAAAATGCAAGTTGTCCCCTTGAAGGAGATTGCCAGACTGCTTGTGCCTGACAAGGAGGGTACAAGGAAATGATTTGTTCAAGCACATCTGTGAACCAAGAGCCTTAGGCATCCACAAAGTAAGTTCTGGAAATTTTCTTAAGTTAGCAATTATTTTCTCTAGCTGAGGGTCTGTGGATAGGGACATAATGGAGATAGCATGGGTCCTACAAATGGATATGTCTATGGGGAAAAAATATATACCTGAGGGAAAGAATAGCTTTGCCTTCTGCTGAAAGTGCCTATGCTGCAATTCATCTGGGAAGGGAGTTTTTAATTTTCTTCCTTTAGCTTCTTCCTTTCCAGGTTTCAGGGTGTGGAGATTCATACAAATAACATTACCTACTGTTGTTGGGGAAAATGTCATGGGTTCCTGGAAAGACAGTTTAATTATCAGCTTTTACCCATGGAATGCCAGAACTGGTTGGACCAAAATTCAGGCTCATTGAGGCTGAAAGAGGAACAGGTTTCCTGCCCAAGATGACCCAGAACACTAAAAGCCAGAAGGGTAGCCAAGTCAAAGCCACCTTGAAAAAGATGCAAAAGTTTGAATAACAGAAAACCAAGTCCAAATGGGAAAACCAGGTGCCAGGGCCAAGAATCAGAGTAGAAACTAGATAGAGATGGGGTAGGTTAGTCTGGATTAATAAACCAAAGTGGAAAATACCTAACTCAGTATCTGACTACTTGTGAATATAACCAGAAAGAACATTGTAGTGGTATGTCAACAACAGGGAGCTAAGGTTTGGATATTTTTGGTCAAAAACTCTCAGATTTAATGAATGCTTTAAAGAGAGGGTATAAAGTCAACAGATCCAGGTTATGAAATACTTAATTAAAATGATAGCATGACATTCATAAACAAAAAAATATCCAGAATCTGGGAATGAATGTGGGGGAAATATTGAGGCTAGAAATACAGAAATAGGAAAATGTCATCAAAGAGCTACTTTAAAGCAATGTACTACAGAGCAAAACATCAAGCCTTGTACTCCTACAGGAAAATACAAGGGAGGAGAATTAAAAGGGAGGCAAGGCAGTGAAGGAGCAGATAGAGATAAAGGACACAGACTGTAAGAGGCAAGAATTGTGTATGTTACAAGCCAGAACAGAAGAGAATTTCAAGAAAGTCAAGTCAACACAATCAAATGCAAGATCAGAGGGGACAATCACTTTTTTTTAGCCACTAGATTTGACTGAAGGAAGTTAGTGGTAATCTCCAAGAAAATAATTTTAATAGTGCAGATAGGATGGGGTCATATCATAAAGGTAAATCAAAAGAATTAAAATTAAGGCTATAGATTTTAGACTAGTTTAAAGAGTGTGATATTAAAAGGAAAAAGAATGAAAAGTAGGTCAAAATGGCAGAAGATCTTTGATATGGAAAAGATTTAAAGAATACTGAGGATATATCAATAGAAAAACAGAAAGTGCCATGTGGAGATTTACAACATCAAGGTATTTATGAACATTAAAATTAATGCCTTCAAACTAACTTTTGTTTGTGTGAGTTTTTTAATAAGAAGTATATTTAATAATTGGGAAAAATGAGAGGGCCATTTCCATTTTGGGGCAAAGCCAAACATAAACTGAATTTTTAAAAAGGCCTCAATATTCTTTAAATCCCAGAGGCAGAGACTTGGACTACATTCCAATGAATATTTCAAGAGTGACTGCTTCTCTTCACTGAGCCAATACCCAAAAGCTTGCTTCTCACCTGCATGACTCTCCAGTGGGCTGTCTCTTTCCATCACCCACTGCTCCTCTTGCTCCAACTGAGAGATCACCTCTGGCTTATAAAGTTGATGCCCTATTCATGGAAAAAAATGTATGTCACAGAAGTTTGTACTTGGGACAAAAATTTCTCTTAGAACTCATTTCCAACCTTTTTAGTCTTTAGGGCCTCTGGATTTGGAAAGGGGAAATTTCAGAGGCAGCAAAATGAAGCTACCCATCTCACACTCAATAAAATCAAGATCTTTTACCTGAGAAGACACAGCAGGAAACAGAGATCCTCTGTCTCCAACACTGCTTAGCATTCTATCCTGGCCTGAACCATATTCACAAAAGATTTGGAAATCTTCAGTAATTAAGGAAATAAGCCCATTTAGCATGGTTTCTAGTTTTACAGGGACAACATCCTTACCCAGTGCTACCAGATTCCTATAGTTCTCTAGCATCACGTCTCGGTAAAGGTTCTTCTGAGCAGGATACAGCTGGTCCCACTCCTCGCTGGTGAAGTTCACAGCCACATCCTGGAATGTCAGGGATTCCTGAAAATATCAAGTACATCCCTGCTTAGCCAGAAACCATTTTTTTTGTCCCTTAGGGGTAGGGACAAAGGCGTAGAGTGGAAAAGGTCTGAGTCCTTGTAAGCTGAGTAATCTAGGTCAAGATTTTTGAAACAACAATTAGTATCTATCATCTTTCAAGACAGACAAAAACATGCATGAAACAATGCTTGCTTCTAAGCTTTTTACAGTTTGTTGCAAAGGAAAGGCTCTCATCATCTAAACAATTAAAAAAAAACATGGGAAATTCATGCTATAAAATTTCAGAAATAAAAGAATACAAGATTTAAAAAAAATAAGGAATGCAGGATTGGTTGAAATATGGTAAGGAGGTGTCAGAGTTTGTAGATTTTGTGTATCTTCAACAGATCCTTAACATATTTTTAAACTCTGGACAGAACCGGAGAGAAAGGATATTCCAGTGGATGAAAGAAAGAAAGAAAAGCAAGCAAGCAACAAGGGCAAACATGTTTAGAGGACACATTATGCATGTGGGGATCAGTAAAATAGTCTACCTTGTGGGGCACCTGTTTGGTTCAGTGGCTGAGGGTTTGCCTTCGGCTCAGGATGTGATCCTCAGGGCCCAGAATCAAGTCCCATAAGGGGTTCCCAAAAGGGAGCCTGCTTCTCCCTCTGCCTATGTCTCTGCCCCTTGGTGTCTCTCATGAATAAATAAAATCTTCTAAAAAAATAGACTACCTTGTTACAGGTAGGAAATTCAAATAAAAAAGTGTCACCTTTAAATTTCCTCCACTGTCCATGATTTTTAACAATCCTTCTGCTTTGGGGATCCCTGGGTGGCACAGCAGTTTGGCGCCTGCCTTTAGCCCAGGGCGCGATCCTGGAGACCCGGGATCGAATCCCACGTCGGGCTCCCGGTGCATGGAGCCTGCTTCTCCCTCTGCCTATGTCTCTGCCTCTCTCTCTCTCTCTGTGACTATCATAAATCAATAAAAAAAAAAATCCTTCTGCTTTAAGAGACACAGATATATAAACACAGGCACATAATACAACAAATATACACCTCCCCCTCTTCCCTTACTACTTAATCCCTCCAAAATACCACCAATTTCTGGATATAATAATTCAACTCTTCAGAATGAGTATGGTGTTACGAGTAAGTTCTTTCCCCCATAAGTTAACAGTCAATATCTAAGTCCAGGACTGGCATTTTATTTAAATTAATTTTCATGCTTTGATAACATATCTCTCGAAAACATATTTCACTTAAGTGACATAGGCAATTTAGAGATGAATCACCAAGGCTGGAAGAAATTATTTATCCAAGGACATACAACTAATTAATTAGCAGGAACTGGATTTTATCTTCGATCTTATCCTAAAGCCTAGGTTTCCATCATACCACAAAGATGTCTTTTCTGCTTTTATGAATATTTTCCCTCTTGTGACTTTTACTTATAATTTCCATTTCACACTCCCCATGTTTCTTGAGGGTAGCACCAGGGTGAGGAAAACTATGAATTTACAGTCTACATTCTTTAATCTCTGCATTTGTAGTTCCTTTTTGGCTGTTTTAATTAGTATTTTCTCTTTCTTTCTATACCTTCTAATGATGCTCTTACACTTAGGTTACTGGTTTCTTCTTATATTTTCTTTTTTACTTCTTTAAAAAAATCTTTAAATTGTATTTTAATTAGAATATTAATATGTTAATATAAAGACACACAAAAAAGTATTTAGTAAAAAAGAAAAAAAAATCTCTCCCAGACTTCTTTCCTCTCTATCCAGTTCTTACTCCTAATCACTATTTATAGTTTTTAGTGCATTTCCCCAGAATTCTTTATGCAAATATAAATGTGGGTTCTTACTTCTACCCACTTTTTTTTAACCTCAAAGATAACATATTATACACATTGTTTTCTAACTTAACAACTTAATGCTGGAAATATTTCCATTTCAGACATATTAGGATATGGCTTCCTTATTATTGTTTTTAAACTAAAAAAATTTTTGATGTAATTTGACTTAAAAGTTGCAGGAATAAAAAAATTCCTTCCTCTCTTCTCCCTTTTTCTTTCTATAATTTTTCTAGACTGTTTAAAAGCAAGTTGCAGGTATGATGCCCCTTTACCTCTAAAAAAATTCAGAAGTAAAAAAAAAAAATTCAGAGGTAAAAAAATTCAGAGGTTTATTCTCTAAAACCAAGGAATTCTCTTACATAACAGCAAAATGATCAAAATCAGGAAATTAACATTGATACGGTAGATACAGTACTCTTATCTAAACTATATATTTATTCAGATTTCACTAAGTGTCCTAATAATGTCCTTTATAAGAAAAAAATTCAAGACCAAGTACTTTATCTTCCATCTTTTCTCTCCTTTAATCTGCAACAGTTACTAAGTCTTTCTTTGCATTTTGTAACAGATATTTGGAAAAGTATAGGCTAGTTATTTTGAAAATAAACCTCAGTTTGGACTTCTCTAATATTTCCTTATGAATAGATTCACACAATACTTTTGGTAGGGATAGTATGGAAAGGATACTGGATTCTTCTCAATGAACTGTATCAGGAAACACACATTATTGACTAGTTCCACTACTGGCAATGTTAACTTTGATAATTTGGTTAAGGTGGTATTTACCAGTAATTTCGGCTGGTAAATTACTATTTCATCCTATAATAAGTATCTTCTGGGGGACATATTTTGCAACAGTATAAATATCTTGTTCTTCCTCAAACTTTCACCCAGTAGTTTTAGCACTGATACTTCTTGCCTGATTCAATTTTAATTATGATAGTTGCTAAATGGTGCTTTTCTAAATCCATCATTCTTTGTATCAGTTAGCTTTCTACTGTGATGATGAGGTTTCCATTCTTATTCATTCATTAATTTATATCAGGTGGATTTATTTACTTATTTTATTCAGTAAGTTACAATCATTTATTATTGTTACTTATTTTTATGCTCCGATTGTCCTAGATTTAGCCAGTAGGAGCCCTTCAAACTGGTTTCTGTGTCCTTTTGACACATCCCTATCATTCTTTGAGCACTTTACTTTTGGGGACAGAAAAAATGTTCTTTCAAGGTACATTTTGTGTTTTTCTGCCTCATGGCTGGAACTAGTCATTTCTCCAAGGATCCGTAGTTTCTTCTAATGGTCAAATACTGAGTAGCTCTACTTCTAACTAGAGGATATGCAGAGTTGCAGTGTCTTATGTTCTGTGGGTCAAATACTGAGTGTTCGGTCTAGTTCCTTTTAATGGAGAATGGCATTTAAAAACTAAGATGCAGGCATTGGTTGTGTTCAACACTAATCGGATTATCGCTTCTAGCACCTTTCAGTGGTTGTTGAAAAAAAAAAAGGGAAACAGAAGTATGTATGTAATGATGTATGTTTACATGAACACACACACAACTCCACAGCCAATTCTATATAAAGACCCATGAGTTCATACTGATACTTCTAATTCTAATCCAGTGTGGCAGAGTTCATTTTATCCTCCTCTCTTTTCATGCTAATTCATATCTCTCCACAAAAGAAGTCTAAAATAAGAGTTCAATGTTCACAGTTGCTTTGTTTTTAGCCAATGGGTCAAGTCCAACAATTCAGGTTTAAAGATTAACCCCTTTTCCTGTTTCCTTCAGTTGGCTATTCAGTAAGCGGAAATCCAGTTTGGTTCATTTATTTTGGTTGCACTCAATTTTAGGCCCTCCTCCCATACTTCCTCCCTCTCCTCCCCTCACCAACAACCTCCCCCACCCCCATTCCACCTATCTTTTTCATCCATTCTCATTCAAGAGCTGTTGGCAACCAATCTCAGACTCTCAATCTTCTGGTGTTCCTTTTTGCTCAAATGACCAAAAACATATATATGTATGCTTTTATTTCCCTTTCTTTCGTTCTTACACAAAAAGTAGTGCACTGTAGATACTCTTTTGCATTTTGCTTTCCTCACTAAACAGTTTGTCCTGGGAATCAGTTCATGGATATCTTCGTCATTCTTTTTTTTATAGCTGCATGATACTCTATTGCGTGAACATTACACAATTTATTTAACTAGTCTATTAAAGAACATTTTCGCCTCTTGCTATTATAAATAATGCTACAGTGAACTATCGTGTATATATATTATTTTCCAACTGTGAACAAGTCTATCTGAAGAATCAATTTCCCAAAGTAAGATATCTAGTAAAAGAATATCTGTAATTCTGATATATACTGTCAAACTGATTTCTTATAAGGGTTAAGGGTTCAATCAATTTACATCCTATAACAGTCTATTGTTGCATAACAAACTACCCCAAAATTTAGCAGCTCAAAACCACTACTATTTATTTTGCTCACAAAATCTGAAACACAGGCAGGACTCAGTGGGACTAAGCTTAATTTTGTCCCATTTGGTTTCAGCTGGAGTGGCTCAACGTTGGGCTGTCAGATTCATTTTTAAGATGGCTTGCTCATATGGCTGTAAGTTTGTACTGGTTGTCAGAAGGGTGCTCAGCCAGGGGCCTCAGTCTCTCTCCCTATGGGCCTTTGGACAGGCTGCTTTGGCTTCTTCATGGCATGATAGTTGGATCTTGAGTACAAACTTCACAAGAGAACCACTTTTTATGATCCAACCTCAGTGATCACATTACTCACTTCTATACTCAGGCCTGCCCAGATCCAGAGGGAAGAGACAGTCCCTCACCTCTTGATGAAGTTTTTAAGTCACATTATAAGAGGAGTCTGTGGGGAGGCAGAAATTATGTATGCCATTTTTTGGAAATTACTATCTGCCATAGTCTACCTTCTAGAATATAAAAACACAGGGGCACTTGGTTGGCTCAGTTGGTTAAGTATCTGACTCTTGACCTCAACTCACGTCTTGATCTTAGGGTTGTGCATTCAAGTTCTGTGTTGAGTTCCATGCTGGGCATGGAGCTTACTTAAAACAAAAATCACATCCCTCTCAAGTGCAAAAAACACCCATCTTCTTCCCCAAGACCCCCAAATTTCATTCCATTATGGCATCT